AGCATTTTGCATTCTAAGGTAGAACCTAAGGAACCAGTGAATATAAGGAAGGCATTTGTGGTGAAGTCTCAAGACACAACGAGAAAGGATGAGTGTATTGTCTGCCATAACATGCATCAATTGAGTGATTGTAATCGCTTTATCGCTATGTCACCCGTAGAAAGGTTAAAAATGGCAAAGCAGAAGCGGCTGTGTTTCAGTTGTTTAAAGATTGGGCATACAAAGTGGAATTGTAAGGCGACAAATAAAGGAAGTAGTGGTTTAACGGATATGCACCCACTTCTGAGAACAGTGAACGAACCTGGGAGTTCGGTTAATTGTAATAGTATCTCTAGACCCCTTGACATCCCACAAGTTTTCTTAGGGGTATTACCAGTTAAGGTGAAAGGACCGAAATCTTCAGTAGAGACTTATGCATTGTTGGATAATGGTTCAGACGTTACATTGATAGATGCTGAACTGGCTGGTTGCTTGGGTATTAAAGGCCCAAAGCAACCCTTGGTTGTAAATACTTTCAATTCTGCGAAAACAGTAGTATGTGAGCGAGTGTCATTTCAGTTAGAATCCTTGGCTACTGGGGAGACCGTGGAAGTGGATACTGCTTACACTACCTCCAGTATGAAACTTGGCGAAGCTATAGTACCTAGTCGTGAAACGGTTGTCGGTAAGCCATACCTGTGTGACATACCTCTTCCAACATTGCAAGATGGAAGAGTGAGAGTACTCATTGGATGTAGTGTGCCAGAAGCTCACAAGGTATTAGAAGAGAGATTTGGAGGTAGAGATGATCTGTTTGCGACAAAAACACCACTGGGATGGACAGTGAGAGGACCTATACCCATAGTCCACATATCATCATTAGTTACAAACGATGGGGACAAACTAGAAACTATGATTAAAAATATGTATGACAAGGAGTTTTGTGACTGCGGTGTCCCAGGGAAAGGTCGTTCTGTAGAAGACTTGAAAGCAGTTAAAATAGCCGAGGACTCTTGTAAATACGAAAACGGGCGTTTCAGCGTTGGCCTACCATGGAGATTCAAAGATAGACAGTTAGTTTGTAATAGGAAAGTTGCTCTTAAGAGACTAATGGGTTTACAGAAGAAATTCCTGTCAGATGCAGAACTCTGGTCCAAATATAAGGAAGTCGTCGATAAACATATAGTGAAGGGTTACGTTGAAAGACTAGTTGATCAAAGTGAGCCAGGGAAGTGGTATTTGCCCCATCATCCCGTCTTTAACCCGAGGAAGCCAGGTAAACTCCGTGTGGTGTTTGATTGTTCTGCGAAACACGAAGGAGTCTCTTTAAATGATAATCTGTATAGTGGCCCAGATTGCGTGAGCTCATTAGTGGGACTGCTATTGAGATTCAGAAAGTTTACAGTTGCTGTCGCGGCGGATATTGAGGAAATGTTCCTACAGGTGAAGGTGCCAGAGAGTGACAGAGATCACTTGAGGTTTTTGTGGTTTGATGACGGTCCTTGTGGTAAGGTGTCAGAATATAGGATGACAGTGCATCCATTTGGTGCCACATCCTCCCCATTTTGTGCTAATTTTGCTCTACGAAAGGCAGTGTCCACATTTGGTTCTAATGATTTGCTGGACGTCATAGATTGTTGCTTCTACGTGGATGATTGTTTAGCCTCCTTCGATGATGATAAGTCTGCAGTTAGATTTGCAACAAGCATCACTGAAGTGTTAGCTAAGGCCGGCTTTCGTCTAACTAAGTGGGTCTCGAACAGCCTAGACGTTTTGAAGCATATAGATCCAGAAGACAGAGCACCTACCGTACGAGATTTGCCTGTTGATACTCTACCAGTTGAACGCACATTAGGTATGCGATGGGATGTGAACTCTGATACCTTTGGATTTAGTGTTGGTGATATTGATAAGCCAGTTACTCGGAGAGGTGTGCTCTCTGTGTTGTCGTCCGTGTTTGACCCACTTGGATTAGTAGCACCTTATCTACTTCCGGCTAGGAGGTTATTTCAAGAGACATGCAGGAAAGGGTTACAGTGGGATGAACCATTAAGTGAGAGGCAGAGAGAAGAGTGGAAGGGGTGGGTTAACAGTTTAAGAATGCTGAATCTACATTCCGTCTCACGTCCACTTAAGCCGTCGAGAAATCATGATATAATTGACTTCCATGTTTTTTCTGATGCCTCTGAGGTTGGATTTGGTGCAGCCGTATACATCAGAACCACCTTAATGAATGATATAGATGTTAGCCTGGTGATGGGTAAATCCAGAGTTGCACCTCTAAAGACGGTTTCGATTCCGAGATTAGAACTTAATGCCGCCTTACTAGCTGCGCAGTTATTCACAACAGTGTGTAAAGAGTTGGATTACCCCAAGCATCCCGTAACGTTTTGGACTGATTCGATGTCTGTGATATATTATATACGCAACGAGTCAGCAAGATATGCATGTTTTGTAGCTAACAGAGTATCTCAAATTCGTGAACTAACAACTGTTGAGCAGTGGAGGTACGTACCGTCTGGAAAAAATCCAGCTGATCTAGCATCGCGAGGAGTTATTGATATGAATGTTGTTAAAAATAAGTGGTGGAAAGGTCCAGAGTTCTTGCTAAGGGCTGATAGTATGTGGCCTCGTAGAGAAGATGAACCACCGATAAACGAGTGTGCCTTGGAGTTGAAGACAAGTGTCAGTTTAACATCTACTCAAGAAAGACATTCAGGTTTACATCCACTTTTTAAATATTATTCTTCTTGGTACAAACTACTGAAAGCGGTTGCGTGGTTGACACGATATGTTACGTATTTAAAGGTCATGCATCTTGCGGGATACGAAAATATGAATGTGGGGCCTTTGAGAGTCGAAGATATTAGAAATGCAGAGTTAGCGATTTTGAGGGCTGCTCAGTGGGAAGCGTGGGGTGAGATTGCCAAGGAGGATAGTCCCGATTTCGCAGATTTCAAGGTGCGGTTAGATAGATTATCTCCGATAGTTTCCGAAGGGATCGCTAGAGTTGGTGGACGTCTACAAATGTTAGAATCGTCATATGAGACCCGTCATCCGGCTTTATTACCTTGCTACCATCCAGTCACTGATCTCATTATAAGACACTACCATGTTCTTGAAGGTCATTTGGGTACTTCGCAAGTACTATCAAGTATTCGATGTAAGTTCTGGATAGTGAAGGGAGGTACTGCTGTCCGTAAAATAATTGATAAGTGCATGGAATGTAAACTCCGAAATGCTCGTCCAGTACAGCAGATAATGGCACCACTCCCAGCGTGGCAAGCTTCTGAAGGGAATTATCCATTTGAGTACGTTGGGGTGGATTTGTTCGGACCTTTTGTAGTGAAGAGAGGCAGAACCCTATGTAAAAGATATGGCTGTTTATTCACCTGTTTGAAAATGAGAGCTGTGCATATTGAGATGGTTCATACGCTAACTACTGATTCATTCGTGCTAGCATTACATAGATTTATAAATCGCCGGGGTGTACCGAAGATGATGTTCAGCGACAGAGGGACTAATTTTGTTGGCTGTCACGCCGAGCTTAAAGAATACTTCGAAGGTCCCAAACGAGAGTTCAGGAAGAGTTACTGAAAAGGAACATCGAGTGGCACTTCAATCCACCACATGCCAGCCATAGAGGTGGGCTATGGGAAAGACTTATAGGAATTATCAAGCGTATTTTAAGCTCCATAATTAAAAACCAGAGTTTGAATGACGAAACGCTGGAGACATTTTTTTGTGAAGCTGAACGAATATTAAATGACCGGCCGTTATCACCTGTGAGGGACGACGTCAAGGATTTTGATGTGTTAACCCCAAATAAATTATTGTTATTGAGAGGCAACCCTGGCATAGAGGACGCAAGCGGGGAAGGAATACCTACGATTAAAAGATGGAAACAAGCCAGGCACATGAAAGATATATTTTGGAAAAGATGGTTAAAGGAGTATGTTCTAACATTGCAGACCAGGGACAAGTGGAAAAAGTTGTGCCGAAACTTAAAGGTTGGTGACATAGTATTAGTAGCAGATAAATGTGCCACAGGTAGGTGGCCTTTGGGAGTGGTAGTAAGGCTGATCTGTAGTGGTGATGGATTGGTGAGGACGGTTGAGGTGAGAACTAGTTGTGGCATGTTGGTGCGAGATATCAGAAAACTGTGTCTCCTGGAAGGTGCTGAGAGTAGAGAGTCGGAGGATGAAAAACTAGATGATTTTCCAACCTAGAGCGTCAACCTGAGAAGGGTTGTAGGCGTACTGCTGTAAGTCCTACAATTCTTCAAAGGGTAGCGCATCAATGAGCAGTCCAATGTGCTCGGTGTGTGATTTTGTACATATGTTCATATTGTATATACTGAATTGATATCATCTGTCATCTAGCTGTTGGTAATTCTGTTTGTGTCCGGACGACTTCCACTTGGATCATCAACCTGAGAAGGAATGTAGGCGTACTGCTGTAAGTCCTACAGTTCTTCAAGGGTAGTTTGTCGTGCCAGAATCCACAACATTTGATGTGTTGATTGTACATATGTTTGTGTTAAATAATTGTGTGAGTTCCAATTATTGTAATTGTTGGTTTGTTTGTGTCCGGACATTCCACAACTTACAATGGTCAACCTGTGAAGGTTTGTAGGCGTACTGGTGTAAGTCCTGCAATTCTTCAAAGGAATTCCATCAAGACATGAAATGCGAGTTTGTGTGTACTGTTTGTATATACGTGTGGTGTGTCATATCAATTGGTGTTTTTGAATTCATTGTGTTTACTCGTTGTTTTCGTACCTTGTTGTTATTGCATAATTTTGTTAAAATTTTCGTCGTGATTACTTCTGAAGTTGTTTCGAGTCTTCTACATCCGTGAATGAATTGATTGATGTTAAGGACAGCAGATGGGTCGTATACGCCGGGGAGGCTATTGCTGAGAATGAAATGCACACGGAGATAATTGTTAGCTGCGGTCCGACACGCCGGGGAGAAAGAGTGTAAACGACTGAGGCTCGCATGCGTCACCGCTACTAGAACTGAGGCAGAATGAGTGACAAGCGATTTCAGTGGTAATTGGTAGTGAGTAGATAAGAGGATGTGCGTAGAGTATCGTGAGGTGCTGCCATGGTCACGTTGCATTCTGCAAGAGTCATTCTAGCAAGTGGCGATTGTGTTGCAAGATGTCAAGAGGAGGTCTCTGTCTGGAGGCGCAGGTCGTCAGCGATGTGTGAGATTGTGCTGTGGGTATGCTTGTGGTGTGTTGGCTTTTCTGTTTGTTTTCCATTTCAGCTCTGTCCGTGTGACCCAGGTTCTCGCAATGGCATCCAAGTCAACGTGCATTGGTCGTGAAGGAAAAAAGGGTTGGATCCCTTTTTTGCCGGGGAGTGTCAATGGAGTTGAAGATTGAACGATCAATTCTTGGTTGTTTGCTCAAAATCAACTTCCCCAATTTTCGCGGAGGCATCAATACGACAGTCATCGTCTCATCGGTCGCTGTTCAAAAAGAAGTCAGGAGACAACCGTCAGAAGTAATATTGTGATTTATTATTGTAATATTTGTTTTCAGACCTTAGTTCACTTATTCGTTTTATATGTTGGTGTAACAATAAAGAAATATCAAACGGCAGATCGGTGTTTTGGTTTTTTCGTCCGTTATAACTAAGCGTTTCTGAAATCTTCGAAGAACAGCGTGGGCCCGAGCGTAGCGACAGCTGGGCATTAACGGTTTATGAGACGTGATTGACACCCTCATAAAATTCAGAAATATCTCGAGCCTTCAAATGGCATATTGCTGTTCCTGCAGAACGGGGCGATTCACCTTAGTGACCCCCACCATATCTACTTATCAGCTAACGCCACGCTCCCTCCTTTGCGCCACCCTCCCTCCTTGATAAATGTTAATCCCAATAGTATAAAACATCCTTTTCACTTATGTACAATCGTTTCTGTGCATAGTTGTAGAAATCCGCTAGATTGTCAGTGAGTGCAACACATCAGGAAATACAGAAGTATTGTCTTCGCATTAACAAAAAAAACCAGGTCTTTGGTGGATGGGCTACAAGTGCCTGGGAAGAAATAAAGCTTGAAGTCAATTTTCGTACATTAATTGATTGTGTGCAGAACCCTTGAGTTATAGTTCATTGATGTGTTGTTTTGAAATCAGTGATATGTTTATCTCATTTGATCTGTTATGTCATTGTTGGGAGTAAAATACATAAGCTTTAGACGCATTAATTAATGGATTTCTACTGCTTGTGGGTATTTACTTCTCGTGAGGAAGGTTTTTGAATTTTAGTTGTTCCGACAGCAGTTGTGAATAATCACTGCTCAGCAACATTATGGATATAAGTTCAACACATTATCTCAGGAATGTTGGGTTGTAGTTGGTGATGCATATATGATGCCCGACGAGCTTACATCTGTCCATGTGATGTAGTGAGTTATACCTTTTTCATGTTGTCGGTTCATGTCCATTTTATTCCACTTATTGTGTTGGGTAGAAGTTTTACAAACGAAACTTCTTGTCTGTTTGAGGGTAAGTATCTTAATCGTTAATGTTTTATCTAAAATTATAAATATAGGTAAAAACAACAGGTGTAGTATTTGAGCTTATACATTAAATGGACCTATAATTTAGGAGGCTGTCGGATAGGAACTAAGACTACTGTCGTTCGCAAACTCGTGTAGTTTGTCGTTAAGCACTTTTTTGAATGAGACCAATGTACCTGCTTGACGCATTTCCATTGGTAGTTTATTCCATATCTGTGCATACCTAATCAAGTAAAACTTTTGCCTGGTAGCTGTTTTACATTGTTCGATAGCTACTGTACCCTTAGTGTGTCTTAGTTTGTAGCCACTGTCATCTGAAAGTCAAGTGCAATTAGTAGAGGTAAAAACTAAGTGGTTTAGAAGCTCATGGTAAAGTGTTAAGTTTAGTCTCAGGCGTCTTAGCCATAGTGTTTCTAATCCTAGGGTATCACATCTAGTGGAGTAGTTCGCACCATTTTCGGTTCCGAGTAATTTTGAGGTGAAGTACCTCTGCACTCCCTCGACTTTCAACTTGTCCTCTTTGCGTATACTACTTTACATGAATGAACAGTAATCAAATAAAGGACGCACACAAACCTTGTACAACAGAATTCTGGACTCATTTCTGTACAAGTTCCTGAGTAGAAAGCCGATAAGTCTGCGTGACTTTGACACTTGTTTGGAGATATGTTCAGAAAATGATAAGTCATGTGAGTATTTCACTCCTAGGTCCAATACAGATTCCAGTCGTAAAAGTGCATGGCCTTGAATTGTCAGGTCAAGTTCTAAATTGTTGCAACCTATGCAGAGCCAGCCACATTTGTTGACATTAAACTGGAGTTGGCAGGTGTCATACCATCTATCCATTTTTCTAATTCTTGCTGTGTGGCGTTTACTGTTATTCCGAGATCTGTGTTCTTGCATTTATAGGTCACTTTTAAGTCATCTGCATATAGTATTGGTTTACCAACACTAAAGCATTCACAGATACTGTTTATATATATTATGAATAGGAGTGGGCCTAATACACTCCCCTGGATTACACCACTACTTACTGGTTTAGGCCTTGAGATTATCGAGCCAACTTTTGTTATCTGATTCCTGTCACAGAGAAATGATTTTATCCAGCTCTTTGTCTTAGGAGGTCGGTCGTTCTGGCCACGCCTGTATGTGCTAGCTTGTGAAATTCTTCTATCGTGTCGTGGCGCGACGATTGAGGTAGAACAGCCAGCCAGCTTCCGTCGTTCTCTCGCCAGGTCAGAGTCCCGTAAGCATTCACTCTGAGTCGATCTCTCTGCCTGAGTAGTGTGGTTAGATCCTTACTCGCTGTAGCTTGATCCACTTCTATTCCGTTGGTGATCACCTGTATTACTGTATTCAGCGCATCATCCAACCTTTGCCTGCTTGCAGGTTTTAGTGGGTCTTGTTCTACTGCATGCACTCCGTAAGCGACCTCGGGCAACTCAGACTCATCTTCTGGTCTCGATAACAAATCTGCCAAGACATTTTCACTTCCAGGAACGTGTGAGATCGTAAAATCGTACTCCTGGAGACGCAACATCCACCGTGACAATTTCCCCCATGGGTCCCTCGCTGTCTTCAAAAACTGTAGCGGCTTATGGTTAGCTTCGATGGGGAACCGCCGACCGAGTAAATAAGGTCTCCATTTGTCGACTGCCCATACCATTGCTAAACATTCTTTCTCTATCTCTGAATACTTTCTCTCTGTGAGGGTCAAAACCCTACTGGCATACTCAACGATTCCCTCGTCCTGTCTTAGGACCGCACCTATAGCGTAGTCACTGGCATCTGTGCACACTGTGAACTGCCTTCCAGGTACAGGTAGTTTCGGCGTCATTTATTGGTGGTCGAGCAGCTGTTTAATTCTGTCGAATGTCCTCTGCGATTCCTCCGACCAAACAAACTTCGGCTCACCTAGTAGCCTGTACAGAAGGGCTGCTATCTCATTGAAATTCTTCACGAAGCGACTATAAAACGCTACTCTACCCAAGAATTGTCTCAGTTTTCTCTTTGATTTCGGGGCTGGAATCGTTTTAATCGTCAAAATTTTCTCCAGCAGTGGTTTAATCTCACCATTCCCCACTTTATGTCCCAACAGAGTAACATTCTTTTTGGCTATCTGGGACTTGATTTTGTTGATGCGCAGTCCAAACTCTTCGATGCGCCGCAGCACGGTTTCTACATGGTTCACATGATCGTTTTCGTTCTGACTGTATATGACGAGATCATCACCATAAACCTCCACGTTTTTCAAGTTTCTAAGTAATAGCTTCATCAGTCGTCTGAACGTAAACGGTGCACCTGCTAGTCCAAACGGCATGCGTTTAAATCCATATTGTGTCTGACCCACGATGAAAGCCGTCTTATCTCTATCACCTTGTTTTATCGGTATCTGCCAGTATCCTGAGCGAAGATCGAAAACCGAAAACACATTCGCACCTTGTAGGCGATCTAAAGTTTCTACCACTGTTGGCATGGCACACGGTCTTAACTCTGTCATACTGTTTAACTGTCGAAAATCAACACAGAATCTATACTTCCCATTCGCTTTTTTATTAACAGCACTGGAGATAATATCATCTTTTAACATCTCTTGCACTTGTCGCTCAACTTCGTCTTCCAGAAGACATGGAACTCTTCGCGTTGTAAATGACCTTACTTTTGGATCACTTAATGGAATTTTATGATTCCCCTTATCGCAATAACCGTATTGGTCCTCATCTGCAGTGAACAGATGATCGTATTTATTAATTAACTCTGTCATATTGTATACCGTCGACAGCTTAACTGTTGCTATCTCACTGGTCTCATACATGTTGATATGCCCGTATTCTGTGATCACAACGTTCGCTTGCGTGTCGATTATTGCACCAATCTCCCGCAGAAAATCAGCTCCTAATATCGTTCGCTGTAGTTCGGGTACAACGATGAAAGGAAACGTCACCTCGCAGCCACCAACAATGACCGTACAGTTCGATCTACACGTGATACGCAACACATACCCGCCTACTGTTTGTAATGTCATTGAACACGAACTAACGCTCTTACATAAGTTCTTATGTACTAACGACACGGTCACCCCTGTATCTACTAAACATACTACTTCTCGATCATTCACTCGCAACTTTGAATACACAGCCCCTTTCTCAAAAGCCCCCACTAATTCTAGTCTCATACGAGAGAAAAAACGAGTATTATACCGTCTGAAACGTTTCCTTTTCGCCATTCTGGGCAGAATCTCCTCCAGTGTTCCGGCTTACCGCATCCAAAACATCGGTCTTTTCTCTCACCCAACTTTAACGCCGCCACTTCCCGCTGCAACGCTTCAATTTTCTGCTCGTATTCGTTTGGTTTTGGTTGCTCTATGGCGGTTACAGTTGTGCTCAGCAGCTGTCTGGTCACCTTCGCCAGCTCACTAATATCTATCGGCTGCGTTGCGTTAACCAGTTCTAATCGCTGAGAAATGTGGTCTGGGATGCTTTAGATGAATTGGGAAAACAGTAACTGCGCTTCTGGTTCTTCGTCCAAAGTTAGAAGCGCACGTTGAAGTAGATTCGTCAATTTCACCGACAACAGTAACGGGTCTGCATCAGGCCCCGGCTTCGTTGAACGGAACTGCTGCATTGCTTGCTGTCTGTCTGTTGCGCTGTCAAACCCTGACACCAGTCATTCAACCAATTTCTTCCAAGACTCTGTGCCATTTGACCTATCTACGCTGTCATATGCCGCCTTGGCTTGGCCTCTCAACAACGTCCCCAGGACAACTGCCTTCGCCGCCTGCTCCTTGACACCTACCAGCTCAGTGACGGCCTCGAAGTCACGTAAGAAGCTTCGTATGTCTCCTTCTTCAAACGCAGTTGGCCATGGGACCTTCATTTTTGAGGGCAGTGACACCAATGTAACAACAGAAGGCAAGGGTCGGCAGCAGATCGTTTTATTAAGGAAATCAGCACGTATTTATATATATTTCCTGTACATT